ACACACACACACACACACACACACACACACACACACACACACACACACACACACAGAGCACACGCACACACACGAAGCCAGCATTTGGCAATGTGTCGGGCTGTCATGGTGATCACGGGAGGAAGCGGAGGGGTGAAAGACAAAAGAGTAGGAATGTAGAAAGCTGGCATGTCAGGGCATCGTTGGCTTGAACGAGAGGTCCTCTCTCTTCTTTGTCGAGAAGACCGAAGCGAGAAGGGAGGTAACGTAGACCGGAGGAGGTAGAGAGGGGGAAGAAAAGAAGAGGAGATGGAGACGGAGGAGGGAGAAAAAAACCGGGCCGGGGGCGGAGGGGAGAAAAGGAAGGGGAGAGAAGGAAGGGGAAGAAAGAAGGGGGAAGGCAAGGTAAGGAAGATAAGGGGGGGGGGGGGGAAAGGTATAGTAGGCGTGCTACTTTCATGTCTCTTACTTATATCCAGTCGCAGCTGTATTGGATGGTTCTGATCGGTTACAAGCTTCACGAGGCTCGAGCTCGCCAATAGCTGAGCGTAGGGAGATTGCGAATTGTCGAGTATGAATTGGCACTGAGAAATGTACTCAGGGTTCACAGAAAAGCAGTGCAGAGTCTGCTCTGCATGAGCCCTCTCTGCAGGATCTTGCGACTTATACAGCCTCTCACAGAGCTGCTCCAGCTGCGCGAGACTCTCCATCTTTCCCTCCCTCCCTCCCTCCCCCTCCCCCCCCCCCCCCCCCCCCCCCCCCCCCCCCCCCCCCCCCCCCCCCCCCCCCCCCCCCCCCCGGCGAGATCTCCTCCTCCTTCAACCCCTCAACCTTTCCCTTCGATTAGCTATCTCCACCCTCTAGCACTTGCTCAGCATCACCCTCCCACCAGCAACCGTTCGTGCGTTCGACTCCTTCACATCATCCTCGACGATCTGATGCATGAAGTCCTTCACAAAGGTTCGCTCTGAGAGCACCGAAGGACGCTGGAACTCGATCGTCCGAGCCTGAGAAGTGGATGGGATGGGTGACAAGGTTGTGCGACAGTGTGACAAGAGCGAAGACAAGCAGGACAGTAGGGAAGACAACTGAGGAACGAAGATCCTTCGCCGTTGAGGAATGTGCAGGTTCAAAACCCGGCGAAGTCAATCTCGCCAGTCAGAGCAGGACGAATCGGACAATCCAGTTCAAGCAAAAACAGCCTGCCGCAGCTCCCACTTCGGACAGACACCAGCAGCCCTCGTTCGTTGAAATCGCTCTCGTCTGGAAATCAGATGCAGAGAGGGATGAAAATCAATCCGTGGCTAACAGAGACCGACAGCGAGAAACACACCGCCGGAAATCTCTCGGTCGCGCTCTCACAAATGAAGACGAGAGGCTCACACAGAGACACAGAGAGAGAGAGAGAGAGAGAGAGAGAGAGAGAGAGAGGTGGGGGGAGGGGGGGGAGGGAAGAGAGAGATGGAGGCGGAGAAGTGCCGCGCCTCTCAAGGGAGGGTGGGGGGCGGCAGCCACAACCTAGAGCAGGCAACGTCAAACGAACGCTAGCAGTGTGAACACGTACGCCAAGTGAGGTGGCCAATCAAACCCACAAGTACTTGCCCAGCTGGTGTGAACGCAATTTCCAGCTTCTAGTGGACTTTTGGCCCTGCGCACACCATCCCGTCCCTCCACGCGGTCACCACAACCACAACACATGCGTTGTGGGGGCCTCGCTCCACTGCACAACACTCTACATGCATTTAGACGCCTTCGAGACCGGATGCATTCGAAGTGTTGGACTCATCCCGACGCACCTGGTCCAGTTACCGTCCAGATGCATGTACAGCGTTGTGTAGTGGAGCGAGGCCCCGGGTTCCAACACATGCGTTGCGATGAACCCGCGAATCTTCGGGTGCTCGTGTTTTCCGGTACGTCTTTCCAGTGATTTTCATTTTGGCGCTCGGCGCTCGGCGAGGCGCCATCCTCGACGAATGTCTTCGGTGATGCCCGCCATCAAAACGGAGAGAAATAGTCCTTCTTCGTTTTTCCCTTTCTTTTTCTTTTCTTCTACTGGGTGACAGCCTTGAGGTATCATGGTCATCACCTGCCCGAGGTAATTCACAGTTTGTTTACACATTGCAGGTAGTCCAGAGTTATTTTACGACTCGACCGTCAGGCAGGATTAGAACTGAGACCACACTCACACTATGGTAGGACTTTTTCCACTTCTCTGTGGACGTAATTGCGGCCATGTGCATGCAGGAGAGGTCGGAAAAGGGCTCTTATACGTTCTAGAAAGTCCTAGTGTCAGTATGCCCTCAAGACTGCTTGGTGAGCTATTACAGACACTGCCTGCGCACCACCCAAGGGTTGTTCATGGTGTTGTATGTTGGTTCTGGGTTTCACATGGGTTGCTTGGGGGTGTTGGTCTCGGGTGTTCTGTTGATCTCCTCAGTCTGGCATATCACACGTTCGTGTCGTTTCCGCTAGTCGTTCACAAGGGTTGTTCATGGTGTTGTATGGTGGTTCAGGGTTTCATATGGGTTGCTTGGGGGTGTTGGTCTTGGGTGTTCTGTTGATCTCCCCAGTCTGGCATATCACATGTTCGTGCCATTTTCGCCAGTCGTTCACATGGTAGAGTCATTCGATTACACGTTACAAGGTCACGGCTTCAAGCTTGGTTCGGACCTTGGGGGGGTCCTTGTCCAGCTTACCCCGTTCTCTCTTCGATATACACACATGATGCTGCCTATACATCTTGATACATTGATTTACAGAGCACACACAGCCTTCGGTCACATATACACAGCTTGCGAATTATACATGGCCTACTCACTACATACACAAGTTTCCACATATGGTGTTGTCTGCACAAATTGATACACGCATACAGTCTACGGATACACACATAGATTACGAATTACACAACTATCAGACCGGGGGGGTCTAGTCACTAGTGGGGTCTAGTATCTGCAGTAGGGACAGGTATGGGCCACCTGAGTTCCTACTGATGTTCGAATAGAACTGTCTAGTGACTATATATAAGGCTTAGACCCTGGGGTGAAAGTAGGGGTATACGTCGCTCAGGCCAGTCCGAGTTCCGTCTGGCCTTGGGTAAGCTAGGGGAAGGACGGTAAGACTGCTTCAATGGATGCTACCCTGTCTGAAACCTAGAGCTCAGAGTCTCTTGGGGCCTGTAGTAGATTGTCTAGATCTGGCGTTTGAAGTTCCCGTTCGACAAGACTCGTCCGATTGACTGAGCTTTGACTTTTGTGTATTATCTTAACTTTAATTCATGAATTCAATTATATCAGAGGGGAAATCTACTATCTATAATTAATTTATCAACCTGTGTTGGAAAGTTACAATTTTTATGCGATGATGTGAATGGGCCTACATAATTTTTATTGTAAAACAACGATTAGTGATCATTGACGGTTGTCTAAACAAAAAGATAGAACTGTCAATAATGGAGAGAAGGTTAACAACAGTTATATTTTTCATCACCACTTCAGGATGCAGTCTGCCTAAACAGGTGGTTTTCAGGGTCTTCGGAATTTTCACCACTTCATGACCATTCATGTTTGAAAATCCTGAATGGTCCTGAAGTGGTGAAAGCTTCGAAGACCTTAAAAACCACTTGTTTAGGCAGGCGGCATGCTCAAGTGGTGAAGGGTGGTTTTCATGGTCTTCGGACCTTTCACCACTTCTGGACCATTCAGAATTTTCAGACTGCCGAAAACTCTCACTTGACCACTTCAGGATGCAGCCTGCCTAAACAAATGGTTTTCAGGGTCTTCGGACCTTTCACCACTTCAGGACCATTCAATATTTTAAGACTGCCCAAAACTCTCACTTCATAATTTTCATTCCTGAATTTTCAACTACCCGATAACCGCTTGTGAATACCTAACACCACATGTTGTACTCCATCAGAGGGTCGCAATGAAACGACTTCCACTAAACCCAATAAACGCACTATCGAGGATCGCAGGGGACCCACTACCTGAACAAACACAGTTTTTTTATAAATACACAAACATGCCTTCGCATATTTATGGGCACTACATAGTACTCCATCATCGTGACTACTCACATATTCCCACATGACTAACCATCATGGTAGAGCCTTGTGAAACAACGATCATTTATGTGAAGTCTTGTGTATAACATCTTTGCGTTCATGCACGGGGACAATTATGGGTCGAGCGGATGAAAGAGACCAGGAACTATATTGTAAGTAGAGTTGAGTTTTAGTTGAAAAGTGTATCATGTGGTTAGAATGGTCGTTCTAGTCGACCAGCGTAGGATCGTGTTCGAGAGATCGACGCCGCGGGCGACGACTTGCGTGTGGGTTCGATTCGGGCATTAACCACGTGTACCCTCTATGCTACAGCGAACAAGAAACGCCCTCGGTTGGGTCACCTCTGCGATTGTATACGAAAAGTCTTCAGATGTGGTCCGATAGCTCGACGGGGATATGCCCACTCAAAGGGATAATGACAACTCCCGCGGACGACTGACGCACTTCGCCGGAGCGGCAAATGCTCTCCATGACAAGTCCTGCAAAATTCTGCGTGATGCGGCCATGAGGGTTCCCCTGCGAGACCGATGCGCTTGACAGGTGACGCTATTGCCAGATATTTCGATTGCCTACCGGGGTCCTTAATGAACAAACCTATGTTCATGATCCAAGCAAAATGACAAACTTTATTTTTGATCTGGTTGATATGTTAGATTCTGATGATTATATTGGATTACGCATAAGAATTAATATTAGTACCATATATATATTATGGTATTTGCAATCACATCTATAGTCAAAACTTGAGGATCTTAGTACCATAAAGTATTTCGAACATGGTTATTATGAGCGTGGATTTTAAGTGAGTAAATGTTGTTCGCATTAATATAATATTACGCATCCGATTACTTGAGAGAGTATTTTGATGTCACTATAACTGTCAGGCTACTTAAACTTATTACAGATTACGCTTGAGATAAAGTTCTTTTGAAACCTGATTAAGTTATTTATAAATTGAAAGTTCGTTCATACCATTTTAAAGCATTTAAGTGCAAGTGTACGATATGACTGATGAAAGTATTTAACGTTAAGATCAGACCCTTCATATGAAAGGTCATGATATTAGTAACTAAAAAGAGTGTATAATGATAGTTATATGAGGAAAAAAAAATGAATGGTTAAGTCAAAAATGAACGGTGCAAGAGGTTGATAAGTTGTTAGTGGATTTATCTCTTTTTCTTGATAACATAATTTAAAAGGAGTGTAAAAATGGCAAATACAGACGAGAGCGTGTTGGATCAGGATGCGTCGCCATAGGACGTAATCAAGGCCCTCGAGAAGAGAAAACTGATGCGGCTACAAATACCGAAGGTCGACATCTTTTTATTCAAGAGGGAGAGAGTGTCCGAGTGAATCGAATTGTTAGAGCAAGTCACAGTTGATGATGTAGAGGTTGACAAATTGAAGTCAATACCTAAATATCTGTCTCTTATACACATCTAGATGTGTATAAGAGACAGAAGACGGAGAGGATAGGGAGGGGGAACGAGGA